AATCGCGCTAAACAAACGCTGTAACGTCTCTCGTGCTCTCTGACTGCAGTTCAATTACTCACTGTCTACACAAACATTCCATTATTGCCGTCACGTCTTGACCGTCTTATATATAAAATAATACCAAAGTCTAGTAACCTCCCGAGAATTCACGAAGCTTCGAGAGTATGACGTGTTACTAGCGTCACGTGACCTCGATGACGCAACAATAGTTTTGTGTAAAAAATTATTTACAGTGAAATATTTATGAATTATACATTTTTTAATTTGCTTTCGTTTTTCTGTATAAATCTCTGGGCTATTCAAATATTGTGCATCAATTTGACTTCAGATAATAGTCAGTTGGACCTCTATTAGTTTGTGAGAACTGATATTAAGTATACACAATTCTAATTTAGAGTGAAGAAAATAAAAAACAGATAAAACGAGCAATCAGAGCGATTGCATACCCTCACCCCACCACTCCTTTTCGAGAATGCATGTGTTTATATTGGATAACACCAGATTTCATCTTCAAAAACTCGGAAAATCCATCTCCAATCCAGAATGATCAAAGATCTGGATCATTTTTTGTAGTATGATGAGGAGTCTCAACCTTAATATGCCCATGAAATTTGTTACAAATTCGATCACACTTTACAGAGTTATTAACCCAAAACTACAAAAATAACCTATCTCCCCATTATAAAAATGCTTGGGGGAGAACTGTTCCTCACATACTTTCCATTTTATGTAAATTTTTCTGTACGTCAGTCTATTAATTCTCAAGATATGCATGTGAAAACACAGACAGACATACACACACAGCCCCAATTGTAATACCTACCCCTCCACCTGGGGGGGGGGGGGAATTATGAATTTTAAGATTTTTTTGAGGTTATTGTATACACACAAATGATGTGTATTAAAAACTGGAAAATTATCAGTAATGCAAACACCAGGTATTGTAACACTCATTCAAAAAACATGATAAAGTAAAAAACATTTTATGTATATATAAACTTATTTTAGGATGTATAGCAGAAACAATAAAGATCGAAAAGTGTATAAAAGGTAAATTTATAGCAGAAAATATTAAGATGCTGTATGATATAAGCTTTACTGAAAAGGAAAATACAGTAGGATTTTTATCATTATTAGACTTTGAAAATGCTTTTGATATGACCCATTGGACTTTTTTAAATAATCAAAAACAATAGTATCTTTTATAATAAAAAAGAAAGTTGAAACATGATCTCTGTAGGTTAATACAATAAAGGTTTATTGAAATGAAATGCAAGATTAAAGGTGTAGTCCTCAAAATCATTAGCATGACAACAATGGTAAGAAACCTCCTCAATGTCAAATACTTGTAATAATGAATCCATACTCATGGATGAACAGGCTGTCACATCATTCACACTTGTAGTTCTCAAATAATGGACACGAAAAACAAGAACTTATCCAATTGTTCTTCTCTAACTTGTACTGTAATCCATATTTACTGTTTCAGGATCAGTACATCTTCATTCACGATGCTTTGTTGGAGGCTATAGAAAGTGGTGATACAGAAATTCCATCAAACCAACTCCCTCACTACATCCAGATGTTGCAGACAGCAGAGAATAGTGAAAGAGAGAAGGACCACTGGCCTCTATTGGAGAAGCAATTTAAGGTTTGTAGATGAATGGTACCAATAGTCGAATCTCTAGTAATAACAAGGTTGAAAATAAAATAATTGTTAATTATCCAATGTGGAGATAACTGTAAATAACATAATTATATATAGCTGTCTATGAAGTTTGTTATAAATAGAAAATCAAAGATGTTACTGTTTACTACTATAATACTATTTGTGTACCATATGGCTGTTTCCTTTACTGTGTTGAAGTATACATCCCATACGTTGCTATTTACTACTTTAATACTGTTTGACTGTGTAACATAAGGCTGTTTGTTTTATTGTGTTGAAGTATACACAACTCACATGTTACTATTTGCTACTTTAATACTGCTTGACTATGTAATATAAGGCTCTTTTCTTTTCTGTGTTCAGTTGAAGTACACATTTAGCACGTTACTATTTTAATACTGTTTGACTGTGTAACATTTGGCTGTTTTCTTTACTCTGTTGAAGTATACATCCCACATGTTACTATTTTAATACTGTTTGTGTAACATATGGCTCTTTTCTTTACTCTGTTGAAATATACATGCCACATATTACTATTTTGTTGAATATTTTCTTTTTATACTTGCAGTTACTCCCAAGTAAAACTTTCCGAGTTTACTTTTCTTATCCTTTTTTTTCAGCCGCCATGTATGAGTTTTGGATTTCTTGTTTTTCTTATCTGTTGACATGTATGACTGTGCCAGTGATAAGTATTAAGTGTGATATTACATCATCAGTATTAGGCCAATAATAATTTTTATCATCTTGTCCTGTGTTGGCTAAGAACTTGTGCCTAGTATTGAAGAAGTGCATTTCAAGTACACTTTTTCTGTTGTGTTCTACTGATGTTAATGCTTTATGTTCAATTCCAGAACTCATCAGTTAAGGTGGTTACAGCATATAAAGTCTCAGTTGAAATACCAATTACATCAGATGTTTATTAGAAATCAAATCTACTAGTGTATAACACTGAAGCTGTTAGCTGTTATTAGATATTTTCTGAACTCTGCTTTATCTTTGTAGCATGTATTCTATTTGAGTAAAATTGTTTTTTCCAAACTCTTCTTGTTGTTGGTGTTTTTGAATAGAATAGTACATTAGGTTGTTTACTTGAGTTACCATTTTCCAGTGTTTGTTGTAATATAACATGAGTATAAAGCTGTTTTAGCACTAGTGGAGTGTAAACAATGTATGTGATTTTTCATATCTTATACCAGTCATAAAAATTAACATGTTGACTGCTGACTACGAGTACACTCGTAGTGCCGGGTATAGAAAAGATTACGCTATTGTCTAGTAAACAGAATAATGCTGGCATCCCAGATAACGCAATAAACAATCTGCTGGCAGTTTAGGGAACATAAATCTGTGTAAGAATCATGGTCAAATGTGTGTTGTATAGTAAACAGAATAATGCTGGCATCCCAGATAATGCAATAAACAATCTGCTGGCAGTTTAGCGAACATAAATCTGTGTAAGAATCATGGTCAAATGTGTATCGTATCATTATCTGCACTATTGAAATTCACTAAGATGCACAAACACAGTATCTCCACAAAGCTTCAACATAACTAAGATTAAATAAGAAATGGTTACAACATAAAATATATGATTATAACTGAAATAAGGTTATTCTACATGATTCATAGCATTGTTTAATCAGGTCTGAATCAATAAACAATTGATAATCAATAAAAATTTTCAAAATACATGATTTTATTCTTTTAATGTTATGTGAACTAACAAGTTCTCACATCATACCAAATGACAAAAATACAATGTCCAGTAAATGATTACAAATGTATCTTTGTCTTCTTGTTTATCTGACCATTATTGAGGCACATGGTTTTGCTTGAAGCAATTTTCAACACAGAGGGCTGGATTTTCAGGGCAGACATCACACATATAGCAGCTTTCTCGTGTCCTTCGAGCCTTTGTGTAGACACGACATGGTTTGATTGGCTTCTCTTTCTTTTCTGTGGATGACAAAAATATGAGGTAGTGAAATGATTTATCTTTTGGAATTGGAGTTGCATTTTGACCCTGGCCTTGAAGATCCACTATGGTATTTCCTAGCAGATGAATTGTTACCTGTTCCTGAAACTTCATTTGCTGTCCCTTATTTTCATTGTTCAGGATGTGGGTATTCAGAATAAATATTTTGATGGTGTGAAGGGCAATCTTCTTATACCATCATATTGTCTTTCATAGAGCTGAGCAATATGATAACATTTGGTCAGATCTGTCTATCCCTGACATGTTATTGTTGTAGTCACTGACGATACTGGGTTTCTTTTAAATTTTATTATTTTGATTTGCTATCTTCACTCTATGCATGTTGCTAATTGTGAACATGTCCTAATTGTCTTTCCATTTACAAACTACCACTGATTCTGACTGCTTCCATTCATGTTCGCCCTTCTTCAACCTTTTCCTGACCACATCCATTGGATTTTCTTTACAATCAAACTGGAGTGTTCCACATACTTAGGTTGATCGTTCAGTCAGTTTTTTCACCAGATGCACAGAACTGTAATGATTATCTGTGTATAAAACACAACATTTGTCCAAGTTATCAGCCATCAGATCAAGGAAACCAGCTGCAGCTTTTCCCAAACTGGTATCTTCATCAAGGAAAGCTCCAAAGTATACATGAATGTTCAGCACCAGACTGCATGATACACATATTTCATAGAGTTTGATTCCATATTTGTGGTGTTTATTTTTGATATATTGTTGAAACAAGAGCCTGCCACGCCAAAGTACCATGGACTCATTGATGCACAAATTTTTTCTTGGATAGTAAATGTGGACCATTTCATTATTGAAGTGATCTAGGAGAGGTCGTATCTTATACAAACAAATATTTAGGGGTTGGGAATTCTTTGCAAAATGCTAAAAACATAAGAGAGTTTGAAAGCAATTTCAGCTCATAATACCACTGTAAAGTGATGTCTTTTACAGAATATCAGTACTCAAGTAATGCTCTAAGATAGGTTGGCTGTTTGGACTCATGTGAATCAACAAGGCTAGAGACTTTTTCATTTCTGTTGCATCAGTGTCCTTTCAGTATCTTAGGCATGATTCTCTTAGCAAATAGGTCAAAATAATCACCAGCTGAACCATCTTGTAACTGAATTCTAAGACCGGACATTTCATTGCAAGCGAAATTAGATGGATCTTGTGCATTTGTCCAATTATGCAATGAGACAGTGGGGTTCACATTTCCAACTGTTCTGCCCTTCTGTCAAGAACTGGTCTAGCAGACCCACAGACCCCACGAACTCCATTGTCGTCACTTTATGAATACAAGTCTGATGAAACCCTTGGGTCACCATTATCACTAAACTGGTTATCACTGCTATCTTTGGTTGTCTTTTGGGCCTGAAAATTACTGTCATCTGAGGGCATTTCTGTAGTCCCATCATCAGACTTCATGTCTTGATCATAATTGTCATCATTATAAGTTTCTTTTAGAAGTTTTACAACTTGATCTGCATTCACAAGTACCATTTTGAAGGGTAATGACAGTAGCAACAAAACACACACATGGTACACAGCACATGATCACCAAAAGCAGAAACTTAGTACCAAAGTCAATTCAGCACTAAATATAGTGCTAAAAGATAACTGTACCACTATCAGCAATGAGTTTTTCATAACATTCCCCACAAGTGTATTAGAAATAAACTTATAATTACTCATAAAAAGGTAAAATTTGACAATAAAGCATATGCATACTTGACTTGGCAAATGGGATGGATGTGTACTATAAGAGTTGGCAGTCATGTTGTTAAAAAGTAAAATCTAAGCTTACAAAATATTTCATTAGTGCTGTTCAGTTTGATTTAAAAAAGTAAACAATTAAGAAATATCAGACAAATATTTATTGTATTATTCCAGAAGATTGGTGCAGGAGATGTATCAGTGTTAAATAGTAATTGAATTAATGGAATTTTGCCTCCTGCCACCACTACATACATTCTAATTTACAGATTAATCAAGTCAGAAGGTTGGTGCAGGAGATGTATCAATGTTAAATAGTAATTGAATTAATGGAATTTTGCCTCCTGCCACCACTACATACATTCTAATTTACAGATTAATCAAGTCTCTATGATACAAATATCCTTACAGAGGATGGCAAATGAGTAAAGGAGATGATAAAAGTGGCATTTAGTAAAATGAAGGAGCTAATAACCATTGGATGAAAAGAGAATTGAAGAAAAAGCGTATCAAGACTATGTTTGGAGTGTGAGGCACAAACATAGAGACTGGCAAAAGAAGATATTAAAAGATTATAGAGCTTTGAGATCTTCATTGGGCAATGAAGGGGGAAACAATTTGCTTAAATAATGAATAAGTAATAATAATGTGTTTGAGATGGTGGAAAAAAACTAGAACCTTAATAGGAAAATTCCATAAAAGGCAAAAGATGTGGGTGGAACACGTTATTCAAATTTTGATGAAGAAGGTCCTAGAAGGAAGGGAATTGGCCTAGGAATAAGAATTGAAAATCTAGCAGCCTGAGAGATAGGAAGAAGAGCCAAGAACCCACCTTTGGGCAGATAATACATGAATTATTTATATAGATATAATATACAAATAAGCAGTATGTAAGAGATTGTGAAATTTAAAAGAGGGTATTGAGATTTGACATTATTTTTCTATTTGAACAGTTGGTGACAGCATACAGACCCAGGGACTTCAGTCTTACATCTGCTTTAAAGTCTTGCAACAAGTCGAAGAACCGTTCATTGGATCTACTACCAGTAGAGACCTATAGAGTCCATATCACTCCAAAGCCTGGAACAGATGGGTCAGACTATATTAATGCCACATTCCTTCCAGTAAGAACTTTGTGCAAATTCTATGTTATAATGTACTACAAATGGTGTTTTTTTCGTTATTATTGTTGAACATAACAGAAAAAAAATAACATGTTAAAACTATATCGGCAATAGTTTAGCCAATGAAATTTATTTATTATAATAGTGCATAACAATTACTGAAACTATGTTTTACATAAAACTACTGGCCATGATACTTGATTTTTGGAACCAAAACATGGAACTTTTGAAGATTAATAACACTGAGTTTGGCATGCTTGTAGCACTTTCAGCTTGAAAGCATTCAAGTTCAGAAATAAGAAATAAGGTCTTAAAAATTAATGTAATCTAAATAGCTATAAGTATACTGTTGCAAAAAATATTATAAAAGTATTTTATTTACACTGAAGCCTATATGATACTGTGTTAAGAGCAAACACAGAAGAATTGAAATTGAAAATAATTGTATTCTTGAAATGAAAAATTCATCCTTTTAACTTGTATTTTTGTGTGCTTTGTTTTATAAATAGTTTATTTGTTTGGTGTAACTTTCACAAAGTTACACAAGGGCTATCTGTCCCTAATTTTAAACTGATAGACTAGAGGAAAGTCAGTTGGTCAACAGCACAGCATCAGCCACCAACTCTTAGGCTACTCTAATTGAACAGTGGGACTTTCATTATTGAAATGATGCACTCACAACCCAAAAATAGTGTGGAGTGTGATTTTTGATCCTCAGCCCAACACACTAATCATCAGGTTGTGCTCTGCTTGTTAATATATTTAACATAACTCAAAATATAAGAATATGTATTGACTAGAAAGGATTTTGCTAGTAGCCTGTTAGCCTAAATAATGAGAATAATATAATATCAAACTAACTTAATATGAATTTCACTTGCAAGGAAATTTTGCACTCATTGAGACTTAGTGGGTTAAAAACTTTTATTTTTCTAATATTACAAGTTTGAGTGTTCTGTTTTTCAGATCATAATGGTTAGGTAAGCCATACAATGGCAAGATAAAGGAAAATGCTTATAGTACTTGTATTTAATTTTATTTATAATTTTCCATATAACAAGAAAAAAATAAAGAATGAATTAAGACTGCGAAAATTAAATACCTTTTAATTTTCCCATTTCATGGTTAGTATGCTTTGTTTTTCAAAACCTTCTGAGATTTCAAGTTCTAGGAGAAGTAAAAGCAAAGGTTTCAGCATTTAAATCTTTAATTTCTTATTTTACATTTTATTATGATAATCTGTAGTATATTCATACATAAGCAGATTTCATAGCAAGTCTAACTTATTGTTTTATTATAAAAATTTAAAACTTACTGTGTCTTTCTGCAGGGCTTTAGCAAGCTGCGAGAATTTATCATCACACAACATCCTATTTATGATAGCATTGCAGATTTTTGGCAGATGGTGTGGGATCACAACTCTCAAACCATTGTGTTATTATCAGCAGTAGATGAAAAGGCAAGGTTTTTTTTTATAAATACACTTGGTCTTTTTTAATGTATTGGATCTTTAAAACTAATAAATTAGAATAATTTTGAATGCTATGTACCCTTTTTATACTCTATCTACACTGAGTGTGCAGGTAGACTAATAATTTATGTAAAATTTTTCATTAACCAAGTTTTGTAGTCGGTTTTATTTATCACAGTGTTCTGTTCCTTAAGAGGAAATATATATACAGTATTAAACATATTTAATATTGAAAATGGAGTGCATTGTACTGTTGAATTTGTCCTTATGACAGTCAACCTATTTTAGGAATATCCATCCTTCTGGCCAGAAAAGGAAGAGGAAAGTGATTACACCACTTTTAAGGTTAAACTGGCCGAGGAATCTTCTCAGGAAAACTTCATCACAAGAGACTTTATATTGCAAGCTGTTCAAGATGAATATGAAGTTATGTGTAGGATTATACAGTGTGCTGGCTGGCCAGAATCATGTTCCCCACTCAGTAGTGTGTTTGATCTAATCAATGTAGTCCAGGATTGGCATCTGGAATACCAGAATGGTCCCATGGTGGTCATAGACAGGTGAGGCTACTGTGTTAGTCATACACAAGTGACTATTGCACATATTATAAGAAGAGAATGTTAAGAAATCTTTGAACTGGTCTTCATTCATGGATCTCAGCTTATAATTTGGTCTGTAATACTAATTGAGGTAGTGGGGTTCAAGTTGTCAATTCTAACAACACAGTACATTTTCATTCAAAAACACACTCATACTTGATCATACAACATAACCTGGCACACCTAAGCTAACTGGCCCATCATATACCATAGGTTTGAGATATTAAAGCATAATAAGACTAATGATAATTTTTAACCTTATAAAAATGAATTTGGTCAATTTTACTAACCTTGGAGCTGAAACTGTACATATTATAATCCTAGATTTAGCCAAAAACAGACTTGTAGTGTAGCTTGCCAAAATTTGTGTAAAGGTACAATGGAGCAAACACTACAAGTCTGTTTTACACAAAAAACAACAACACATTTTTAAAATAAGTTATTTCATTTGCATAACCTCGCAAAATATCAAAAGTTTTTTGCTTAAAGTTTATATTTTTTCTACCCAAATATCGTAGTGAAATCATCAATGTACAGTGAAACGAAAAGTTGAAAAATCTATAATAGTTAAAGAGCCTGTGTGTGTGTATGTGTGTTTGTACACCATAGCTCCAAGAGGAAATAACCTAGAGACCTGACACTTTGCATGCATACTAAGGGGATTCTGAGGGTGTTTAGACTTAACTCAAATAAATTTTAGCCAATTTCTTGCCCTGTAGCCCTTAAGCACTATAATTCTGCTTCCTGTAGGTCTATAGAAAAGTATCATATTTTTTTCTAATTCTAACTTATTGAATGAACAACATGTGGGAGTTTTCTGCCATATACTTTTTTTTACACAAACATGGGAAGAAAAATATAAATCTGAGAATTAAAAAAAAAAGTTGAATTGTACTAAGTTTGGGTAATGGCAACAAACAATGGAAAAAAAAATATGAATCAAAGAATATTGGACAATTTGGAGAATGAGAAAAATTCAAATAAAAACACAGAAAGAAAAAAAAGAATGTGAGAAGCTAGATTAAAACTATTTGCTTTTAAAAATAAAGTTTAGTTGAATTAAGTTCAGGAACTGGCAACAGACAAATCAATTAAAGATTTGGTGCATTGGGGTAGCTATAGAAGTAATTAAGATAATAGAGACCTTGATTGGTACATTTTGACCTGTGTGAATCGTAAGGGAACCTTAGAATCCTGCAGTAGAACATGGGTATTTTATGTTAGTATAAAATAAAATAATACCATTTCTTTCCTCTGTACCGACTGTGTTTTTGATCAGAAAGTTACAAATTACGTATCTTAACATTTTTAAGTGTTAACTTTTTCACATTTTCTCTTAATTTTATTGTTTTATTGCAGTACTTTGTACCATTTGAACAGAAATCCTTGCATAAAAGGCAGTAAATCATATCAGTATCCCATTAACTCTTTCCTTTAGAGCTAACATAACAGCGAGTGACCTAGTGTCATATTTTGCACTGGTGCTCGAGCTTGTGTTATTTTAGACATTTGATTTTGTTTTGTGAGGCTAAGCCGAGAAGTTTATAATTTTTACATTTTAGTTACTTTTGTTAAATATATAATAATAAAAAATATTCATACAGTACAAAGATTTCTAATACTCACTGCAAATACAAGCTGTTTGCATTTGAGTAAAAATATTTTACTTTCTTCCCTAAGCCTTGCTGTGTTTCACAAATTTGAGTATCTAAACAAAATTTTATGCATTTTAGAACATAACAAATACATCATGTACTAGAATATAGTGTCCCCAAATTATTATTAATTTTCCAGCTAAGTAACCAATTTGGTTAATCATTCAATGCAGTAAAATTATGATCACATAATAAAAGATTGCTATCAAGTGAATACTCTCCCCCACCTAATTCAAAAGTATTAAGCTTGATATATAGGAGAATCTTTTCTTTCTGTTGGTTATAAACATGTCCATCAGCCATGTAAAGGTGATTGGCTAATAATCTTGAAAGTTGGATGGGGGAAAAAAAGAGGCTTTTTTGGTGTGTATGACAAATTTATTGATATCTCAGCAAATAAAGAAGCTAGGAGGTTAAAGTTTTAGATTCTTACATTTAATTATGTATATTTTGTTGTTCTAATTAACTGGAAACTACAGCAGCCTATTTTAGAAGTGAAAAATTTAAAGCTCACATACATCTTGTAACACACAGAAATAAAATTTAAGATTTTTTAAATATCGATTTTCTAAATTAAGAATTTAAAACTTAGATAATATAAAAATTGGAATTATAAATTAATAAACTAGGTTTCCAAGCCATGTTTATTAACATGCATTGATAATAAAAATTGTAAATGCACACTTTGACTTGGTTGTACAGAAAGAGTCAATGAATATATTTTACTGGTCTTATATATGGGCTTGAAATAAGAATAATATAATACTGTCTTGACTTCATGTATTGAGTGTCAAACACTGCTGTTGACCTGATTAGCTCTGGAATTAAGTGATGTGCCTCGTTAACAATGGCATACAGCATAAAGTGCTTGGTTGAGTTGCTGTCCTATTCTTACTGGATGTCAGGTTTTATGTACTAACACTGGATATGGGTATAGGACCAGTAAAGAAAGATTTCATTGCAAAAAAATTATCTGTATTATTTTGGTATAATGTCACACCAACAATTAAAATATAGTCAAACTCTGCCTGCAATAAAGCATTATATATCATTATAATGTATTTATGGGGGATACTTGTTTGCCATTGATTCATATCAAGTGACTCTCAGGGGTTGAAAAATTACTACTTATGTTATTAACTTTCAAAATGTCAAATCTTGTACAAGAATTTTGAAGTTGATGCTGTAACAAGAGAGAACGGGTTCATTTCTCTAGTCAGACATATAGCACTCTGGTTATCATTATAGTAATTGGGTAAACATTTCACTGACTCGTGACAATTATGGGTCATGAGTTGGAGTACATGTACATGTAGATAGTAAAGTTTTATCTTATTATGTAACTTTTCCCATAAAAATAATAAAACTTCTCAACAGTTATAGAAGTAACACTCAATGATTGTTATCTCTTTTTTTTTCTTAATCATTTTTATACATTTATTTTTTTTTCTTAATCATTTTTATACATTTATTTTTTTTTTCTTAATCATTTTTATACATTTATTTCACCGAAACTTTACAGATTTGCAATCATAGAATACAAATCTTATGAATATTTGTCACTGCTAGATTCACTATGCTTCTTTGTTTTAAATTGTAAGAGATACTAAGGTATTAGGTTTTTTTTATAGTGAATGATTTCCTGTTGTTTCAAAGTCAACTTACAAAAATGGGTTTGTGCATTTTTTATCTGGTTAGATTTGGTGGTACTGAAGCTACAACATTTTGCTGTCTCTCAACACTCTTCAAACAGTTACAGTGTGAACAGTCAGTAGATGTGTATATGTATGCCAAACTCTACCATACTTGCAGACCTGGTGTGTGGAAAACTCAGGTAAGAGTGTAAACATTTGTTGAATTATATTTATATAGTTCAATATAGAAATAAAAAAGCATTGTTTTTGCACATTTTAAAGTCAAAGTGCTAATTTTGTTTCACAAAATAAGACATTTATGTAAAACTTTCATCTTGTTTTTCAAATCTGTTTATTAATCTAGTTGATTTGTGTGATCATTTATGGAGTTGCTGTATAAACAGTTATATTGTTGGGTAAGCTGGGTTCTTAGATTTATTTTTTGTAAGTTTATTGTTTACAGAGTTGCTTTATAAATAGTTATATAGTTTGATAAGTTTTATTTTTTGATGGTGTTACTATTTATGAAATTTGTATATGTAATACTAAATTTGCTTGATAACTTCTCATCTGTTATTGTTTCTTTGCAAAGTGTTACTATTTATGGAGGTACTCTATAAACAGTAACATTATTTGGTAAGCTCTGAACTGGTGTTTTTTGTTTCTTTGGTAAGTGTTACTATTTATGAAGGTACTCTGTAAACTAACCTTATTTGGTAAATTCTGAACTGATGTTTTTTGTTTCTGTGGTAAATGTTACTATTTATGAAGGTACTCTATAAACTAACATTATTTGGTAAGTTCTGAACTTATGTTTTTTGTTTCTTTGGTAAATGTTACTATTTATGGAGGTACTCTGTAAACAATAACATTGTTTGGTAAGTTCTGAACTGGTGTTTTTTGTTTCTTTGGGAAGTGTTACTATTTATGGAAGTACTCTGTAAGCAATAACATTGTTTGGTGAGTTCTGAACTGGTATTTTTTTTGTTTCTTTGGGAAGTGTTACTATTTATGAAGGTACTCTATAAACTAACATTATTTGGTAAGTTCTGAACTGGTGTTTTTTGGTAAATGTTACTATTTATGGAGGTACTCTGTAAGCAATAACATTGTTTGGTAAGTTCTGAACTGGTGTTTTTTGTTTTTTTGGGTAAGTGTTACTATCTATGAAGGTACTCTGTAAACAATAACATTGTTTGGTAAGTTCTGAACTTATGTTTTTTGTTTCTTTGGTAAGTGTTACTATTTATGGAGGTACTCTGTAAACAATAACATTGTTTGGTAAGTTCTGAACTTATGTTTTTTGTTTCTTTGGTAAGTGTTACTATTTATGGAGGTACTCTGTAAACAATAACATTGTTTGGTAAGTTCTGAACTGGTTTTTTTTTTGGGGAAGTATTACTATTTATGGAGGTACTCTGTAAACAATAACATTGTTTGGTAAGTTCTGAACTGGTGTTTTTGTTTCTTTGGTAAATGTTACTATTTATGAAGGTACTCTATAAACTAACATTATTTTGTAAGTTCTGAACTGGTGTTTTTATGTTTCTTTGATATGCTTTACTGTTTATGGAGTTGCTCTATAAATAGTAATATTGTTTGGTGAGTTCTGATCTAGTTGTGTTTGTATGCAATTTTGTTTAGTGTTTAATTCAATGACCATGCTTTCAAAACATAATATAAAATAATATTAAAGAAGTTGCTAAATGATTAGTTATTTAATAATACAGAGATAATATTTGATTCTGTTTGTTTAGGATGATTATCTCTTCCTGTATCAAGCTGTAGAAAGTATAACGGAATGTGCCACTCAGTCAGAAATTGACATTGTTAATAACAGCCAGTTGAATTCCACCAATGGACATCTCACTAGTAATGGACATGTTGTTAAGTTAGACACCGACCTTGAGAAGAATGAAAGCCCAGCATGACTGTTGAAAACTGATCATTGTTTTTTATTTTATTAGCTTAAGAATAGTGGCACAACTCTGAAAGGAAGATTTAGTTGATAGTAAGCTTTGCCATTTTACAAAAAGTAAAGTGAAAATAACATTGTGAAGGTCAAGTTTGATAGTGAAGAAAATCTTGTCACTATTTCTGGGGGTATGAGAAAGAATTTTTCCATGAGTTGTTTGATTCACCATTATTCTGTTGTAAGTAATACTATTCTACTCCTATAAGTATGAAACAAATGCAGCTTTGTCATATATTAAATGAAACAACTGGCATTTACACTGTGTGAACAAAATGCCCAGTATCCTTTTGTGAGTGATGAAAACACATCTCTCGTTTCAAAAGTGTAAGAGGATAGAGTCTCAACATTGTGTTAAGATGTAAAGAAAGGACCTCTGTCATTTCCCTGAACTGTAGTATGAAATGGTACTAGTGACAACAAAATGTGAGAAATGTGCTATTGATATATACCTCTGGTGAAAATGGCAACAATGAATGAGCTGTAAAGTTTTCATGATTGGAAAGTGTATATCAGTTGAAAGAAATATGCGTCCACATTTTAAGTACCTATTTGCTAGTTGGTTTGAATACATCAAGAATATGAAATGATGTTTCTTCTCTTGTTTAAAACATGAAAACAAACTGTTCTTGTCTTTCTTGTGCAGAAAGAAATAACTGTTTATAGTTGTTTTCAGTGATTGTTGGTGTTTCACGTTCAGTATCATCTACTTGGCCAGTTGAATTTGTGAAATTTTGTGTTAAGAATAGTTAGTAAATTCTGTGTTAAGAATAGTCCTTTTTTTTCTCCAATTTGACAAGATATGGCCATCAAATAAATATGTCTTTTGATCTCCACTTAGACATTTGCTCTTTGAGTTACTGTGACGTGCTCATTAGTCCAGTCGTATTGGCTACAGCTTAGCTAGATCTGTACAGCAGAAGTTGCTCATGTATGGTGTAAACACACATTTTTACGTTTCATTGTATAGTCTGCCTTGCCCAAAGTTAATATAAGCTAGTGTTAAGTGTGTAGAAAGGAGAGACTTGTTTGTATTTTTTAGTATGTTTCGTGTACAAATTTTTTAGCAACTATGCTAACTACTAAAGAAAGGTATTGTACGTTGAACTTCAAAAATCAGATTTAGCCATTTAAGAAAACAATCTTGTATGATCATAGTGGTGATAACAATGATTTATACAACAAATTTGATACGCTTAAAAATATAAAGAGTAGAAACTCATTTCATGAGAAAGTTGTACTCATTTCTGTCTCATGAGAAACATAGCAAGTTATTTTTACAAAGATTATTTTTAAAAATTTGGTAAAAGCAAAAAAATTAGTTAAGGGAAAACAAAGCATATAAGTAACAGGCATAAGTGTTTTGGAAAGTGTTTTGCTAGAAAATAATTTTTTTTTGTAAAATATTTTCAACGAGGGGGAGACACATTTATGATGAATTTATTTCTAAAGAAGTTTGTAAAATATACACAAATAGTTTGTTGTTTTTGCTGTAATAAATACTTTCAAACTAGCACAAAAAACAACAAGAGTAATATACTAATACTGTTAATGTAGAACTCAATTTATAAATATGTATATAGTATTTACAGTTATATAGCCATTGCTTTTTAACTTATTTAGACAAATCCGTGGACCACAGGATCTATATATAGTGATGATCCTAAAATCTTTCTAGTATACCTTTGAACATACTGTCTTGTAAGGACTTTAATAAGTTTATTTAATCGTGTATACTGTTTTGTAAGGACTTTAACAAGTTTTTTATGTTGTATACTGTTACTTTCAGGACCTTCAGAGGTATTTTTTTCTATGTTTCCTTGTACAAAACTGGAATATCACTTGTGTAGTTTTTTCACGTTATAGATAATCCTTGTTATTACACCTTGTAATTCACATTAGAGTACATGAAGATGGCAGCAAATGTAATGTTTGGTTTAAACATATACATTTGAATACAGTTACAGGTTTGTAAATGTGTGTATAGATAAAACCCAAATTTCAATGCTTTATGATATTGTATTGCTTTACCTTTTATTAATAAGACACGAAACACTCTCCAAGAGAAAAAGTGTGTATTCTCTATAACAGTTTGTGTTGCATACAGAAAAAATAATTTGTCACTGATGAAGAAAGAGCTTGTGTTATAGGGTTTGTTTGTTTTCTTTAATTGAGTTTTCAAACCTACGTGTTTTCCTGACACCACGAAAGAGAAACTGTCAATGTTTCTAAGATAATGTCTTTTTTCTTGTAAAATTTGTTCCTTCAAAGTCTTGTTTCAGTTTAATTTCCCAAATAATTTTTCAGATTTTCTTTTTAGTAAGACTTTGTCCTTAAAATTTTTATTGAGCGAAAAAAGTTTTATTTAATTCTAACTATATTAGTTAGTTGAAAGAGTAAAACCTACAACCAATGAAAAATAGATTATTTATAGTACCCAATAACACTTAAGTGCTTGTTAGTACGACATAAGCAGCTCTTAAAATAAAGCTAATATAGAACTAATCTAAAATAGATGTGCCGAATAAGCACTATATAGAACAGTTAAAAACAGTTAACCAGAAAGGAAATAAATAAAAAATAAATGGATTTTGTCTTTCTTCAGTGAATAGTAAAATATACAGGAAGGGAGCGTTGTTCGTTATTGTGTTGAACTTCAATTTGTTTCTGTCTGTCTGTCCGTCTTCATCAGTATGGCAAGTAGTGGCTATACCACGGCAACTAATAAAACTTGTGACTGTATATAATCTTATATCATGGTATCTGGTGACACGCTTGAGTAAGTACTTTTGCATCATGGTATCAGGTTACATATTTGTCTAAGTACTCTTGTTTCGTGGTATCTGATGACATACTTGAGAAAGTAATCTTTCTCGTGGTATCTCGTAACGTACTTGAGTAAGTGTTTTTGTACCACAGTATCTAATGACAAACTTGAGTAAGTGTTCTTGTACCACAGTTATTGCCAATAATTGAACACACAGTAGTGACAAAGTGTTCTTTGTACTATGGTTTCTGATCTCATAATAGTTTGGCTATATGGATTATCACACACACACATGTATAAAAACTTAATTTTTGCAGCTTAAGTTAAAAATAAACTGCAATCATATAAATTTGAGATAAAACTATACGTAATAACTGTTGTTATCAGAATAGAGATCATAGATAATCTTACCTGTATTTTTTACAGTATATTTATTTAAAATATTTCAAGCCAAATTTGATAATTCAGACTTAATTAAAGACAATAATCATATTTACTTAAAAACATGCTTTTAACTCTATCTAGACAAAGGCATAACTTATATAATATAGAAGAAAATTATAGTTATAGTTTCTGATATGAGTTATATGAAGTGGGATTATACATTCTTATTCTGCTCAGTACCCTATATTATCAGTTACCTAGGCTAAAGGTACATTTGACATAAATGAGAACTGTGTGTTCTATAAAGGTACTGTTAGTGATTGGGTACCCTATATTATCAGTTACCTAGGCTAAAGGTACATTTGTCATAAATGAGAACTGTGTGTTCTATAAAGGTACTGTTAGTGATTGGGTACCCTATATTATCAGTTACCTAGACTAAAGGTACATTTGTCATAAATGAGAACTGTGTGTTCTATAAAGGTATTGTTAGTGATTGGGTACCCTATATTATCAGTTACCTAGGCTAAAGGTACATTTGTCATAAATGAGAACTGTGTGTTCTATAAAGGTATTGTTAGTGATTGGGTACCCTATATTATCAGTTACCTAGACTAAAGGTACATTTGTCGTTAATGAGAACTGTGTGTCCCATAAAGGTATTGTTAGTGATTGGGTACCCTATATTATCAGTTACCTAGACTAAAGGTACATTTGTCGTTAATGAGAACTGTGTGTCCCATAAAGGTATTGTCAATGAAGGACTGTGATAAATGAGCTGAAATAAAATTAATTGATGCATTTTATGGCACATTACTACCCCACCTAATAATGTCAAAAAAAAGCATTAGTAGTCTGGATTCTCACTCATCCTTGGAAGAACAAAATGTTACATTTTGTAGATAAAGTATTATTCTATGAATTTCCTTGTGTTGTTCGATGTATTTGATTGATCTGGTGAGTGAAATATTTTATTGATATTTCCAAACTATTCTGTTTATGAGTCTTAAAAATGTTTCTCTACAAAAAGTGAGTTTCATTAATTTGAAAATTTTGTTTTTTTTACTAACATTTTTAGTCCTTTTTTAACATAAAGGGAAAATACAGTAATTGTACAGACATTGTACGAGTTAATCTGAAAGTATTTATTGTGTTCATTTCATGAAATCTATCTGTAGTAACAGGTTGGATACAAAGAAACTGTCCTAACCGAGTTTTAACCCAAAGAATCAAAACATTCCATGTAGAACCATATCTGTATTATTATTATATTTGTTAGGAATTATATATAATGAAATACATTGTAACATTTTGATCTGATTTTAAAGTTAATTAAATCAAAATTATTCATCTTGACCAAATACAGCTGACAGTTTAGGTATTGACAATGTTACTTAACTCTCAGGAAATACCAGTTTTATAACTCGGTGTTGACCTATATGGTTTTCACAATGAATGCATTATAACAAACATTTCATTCCACTAATAACCTTGTTCTTGTGAAGTCAAGATGGAGCAAAAAAAGTACACAACATAACAGTGTCAATCTGGGTTTTAAACTTTTCTTCAATGGGAATTTTATAAAATACGTTGTCTTTCCTTCAATTTCTAAATGTAGTATAGTTTGGTTATTTTGCATTGTTAAGACAACCCTAACTAGAAAATTTGTCTTATTAAATCGGACAAAAATGTAAATATTTGATTCATAGCTTAGCAAATCATTGCTTAAACAGTGTATGTAATTGACTATTAATAATATATTCAATAGACATTTTAATTTCCTCTATGACCACAGGCATGATAATTGCCAAGAAATTCTTTAACAGTGATTATATTCTTCAGTAATATTGGACTCAAGTGAACTCTATGCTCGAGATTATGAAGTTGTGGTTTATTAACTGACATTTCTAACTCTACAGGCCAATTTTGGACCTTCAACTAAAAATATACTTAAGCATCAAGTATAATTTGATTATATAGTTTATGTGTAACATGCTTTGTTTATTTATTAAATGAAAATAAACAAGTGGAAAAACTTGTACCACAAAAAATGGCTCATGTTAAAATAGATGTTTTAATGTTCACAAAGAATCGGGCTGGGATGCCCTTCATCTGGCAATTTGAAGTGTTGTGAACATTAAAACATCTATTTAACATTAGCCTTTTCCCCACTTTTGTTATTGATTTCATGATTCCACAGCAGTTATTTTAATATGATTTTCTTTTTACCTTTTTTTGACTAGTTGTACTTGGTGAACTCCTAAAACACACATTGCGACTGTTTTGAGAAATGATAGAAATTACGTACAATATTATGGCTTTTAAATTGTTTTGTATATAACTGATTTTGACATAACCTTGTTTGCTGTTGGTAAAGGAAGTTCACATTCCAGGTTTTCTTTATCAATGGATTAATACAGTAATGTCTTGTAAGTTTTCCAATAATTTTTTAATGGTCATTCAACCAAAAACTATACTGAGTTTCTCATATTGTATTACAAACAAAATCATTAAAAAAATGCATACTTGGTGTTAGTTGTTTATTTAAAAAATTCAAAGATTTCTATAAGCTGTACTTTCATATTAAGAGAACTAAAAATGTATTAATCTTGAAAAGAAGCATTTAATGATATTTAAAAAGAAATAAAAACTTTAGTACCAATGTGATTAAAAGTAATATAAAACTTCCATGTTCTAACTCTGTGCCCTGAATTAGAGAGGGAAATGTTTAGCAGTTTTTTAATGTGTAATTTATAAAATCATATGTATTGAATTTCTAGTGTGCTTTCCATCATAGGAATATTTGAATATTTTTACAGTTGCTTGTGTTGTTAGTAGTCTGCTATGAGGTAAGTAAAATATTCAACTCCACAATTCAAAGCTGGGTTTTATACATGTTGTTCTAACTGCAGAACTGTACTCACTGAAATCTCCTGAACTACATGTTGATGTAACTTCAGAATTGTCTCGTAGTCTTGATGATCTTGTAAGATATGTTGTGCTAGTTTCGTGAAATTGATAATGTAATAAAGAAAAGTTGATTGTTTTTAAAAGTTAGTCTGTATTAATTTTGTCTTAGATCTTTGTTTTTTAGCCATCATTATTTATGTTTATCAAATAATAAACAATGCTGCTATTGTACTAAGGCAGAAAATCTACAAATGCTCCTTGCAATAAATCAATTTGTGATATTTTATTTTGCAAGTTAAGTCTCTAGGATATACATAATCTCCAAGTGTGATTATATCAAGTGTGCCTCCCCTCAACAGCTGGTATGGATAGTATGCAACTTTGGTATTAATTAGCATATGCTTATTACTATTTTAACTTGATTTACTTATTTTTTCCAACTTGAACATTGATTTTTACTTGACATGCAAAATTACTAGAATCAGACAGTTGTTGAAAACGTCCCATATTCTCAATTTACACCAGGCCTCTCCCAATAACTGGCATTAGGCATGCACAAATCCTACTAAAAACTTCTCAATCAAGTGTAACATTTGAAAAATGTTTTTATGATTGGTTGTATCAGATATTATTGCATGTTAAACATTAACTACAATAAAATTCTTGGTGCCATTATGGAAAGGAATTTATCTCGGTTTATTAATGGTAACATTTCTGTGTTTAAATTCATTCACTGGATTCGGTAACAGTAGTGTGTCTGTTATGACACTTTAAAATCTGTATGATAGCATTGAAGTACATATATGACACAATAATATGGAGTTTACAAAGTTTGTAACCCCTAAAGAGATATACGCTGGAAATATATCATAGAAAACTTCTAACATAATGTAGAATGTGTTAATACTGAATAAGTTTATAACATTCATGTGGTATATCATGTAATTTTTAAGCCCCATTTGAATATAATTATAGAAAAAATGGGTTGTTTGTTACATACAAAAAGTAATGTGCACTTTTGCATCTGTGGAATATTCCCAATTAAACATTTAGAAAGTCATATAAGTAAAGTGCTATGGAACTATGTTGATACAGTGCTATGACTATTATCAGGTTATGTAGACTGGTAAAAGTAAAGTTAAAACACATTAAAAAATAGCATACAATAAAATTTGTACGTACATTTTGTTTTTACCTGCTAATTTGTCCATTAGCCTGGTAAAGCCAACATTTTATTGATAGAAAAAAAATCTTATCACATTAGCTTAAACAGCTACCCAACTTGCAACTGAGAAGAAAAATATGGTTTAACATCCACATTGTCATTCCATGCTTTGTCCAAATATCAAACGGATAATATGAAATGTTATTTCAGCATTTAATGCTGTTCTTTTTGTTAATTAGTTTACGCTAGATAACATTAATCTGCAATTTTTGAAATCACATTTGAATTTGTATTTTAATATTTGAGCTATTTCCTTGTAACAAAAGAAATATTCCAATTTATTTATGAAAATAAAGAGCTCGCAAAACTGGTGACCTCTCTATAATCACAAACACTTAAAGTTAATATGTACAAATTCTTTAAAAGTGATGACAAAGATTTACAACAATATACTGGATTGTGTGCAAAACTTTGAAATATTATTTGGAAAAGTAAAATTTTACATCACCATTTTAAAATGTTAAACTAAAAATTATTAGAAAGAGCTCAGTATGAAGTACTGTCTCATATCACTTGCTTGATTACTTTTAAAGAAGTAACAATACTGCTACATCTTTAATTGCTACCAGTGCCTAATTATACTCCACACAGCAACGTATAATAAAAAATAATGTTTAAAATTTTACGTGAATAATCACATACTATTAAAATGGTGTATGTACATAAATTCATATATCAAGTGTTACATGCTTTTAAACAGAAACTGGATTACAAATTCCAGTGCAATTTGGAGTTTCACAATGACAGTTGTTTTTAAGTTTAATATACTTTTTATGGTGTGAATGCCTTTTCTAAGCTGGCAAAGCATGATTATAAGTTAATTATACTTGTCATAAGACATAAGTATAATTTATTATATTTTCTTTTATTATCCTGTATACTATAAAACAACATGCATATCTGATTGAACAACATAATTCAAGCAGAACGTCTTACTCAATAAGCGTAAATTACCTGAATAAGTATTTACTATATTTATACGCAGTTATTGTTTGGGTCAGATGATTCTTGAATTCAATCACATTACACAGTAACAACTAATAAAGCAGTAATGTTATTAAAGCCAAAGTTTTTATAAGAACCTTATAACACCAAGATAACAGAAATATAGCCAAAGTTCTTATATGTGTATTTGTGTGAACAGGAATAAAATCAGTTAAGATAGTAAATGAAATAAAGCACTGGTTGCTACAAAACAGGTTTTCCTAGTATGAATATAGCCAAAATTGGTACATATAGAGCAGGACTAATAGGAATGATGTTAAAGTTGTTACATATAAAGCAATGCTAACAGAAATGATGTTAAAGTTGCTAAATGTAAAAGAGTGCTCAATGGAATGACATTAAAGTTATTACATATAAAGCAGTCCTAAAAGAAATGATATTAAAGTTGTTACATATAAAACTGTAAACAGGAATGACCTTAAGGTTGTTACATATAAAGCAATGCTAACAGAAATGATGTTAAAGTTGTTACATGTAAAACAGTTATAATAGGAGTGAAGTTAAAGTTGTTACACGTAAATCCTGCTAAAAGAAATGATATTAAAGTTGTTACATATAAAGCAGTGCAAACAAGAATAAAGTTAAAGTTTTTACATATAAGTTGTTGCAAATAAGACTGTTAATAGAAATACAGTTACCACTAGTAAGAATGTTGTAATGGAAATAAAGCTAAACTTGTACAAAACACAATGTGCAAAAAAGTATGTAATGATGCCAAAGTTGCTACTAGTAACACAGTGTTAAGAGCAATAAAGCCATCTTTTCTACTTATTAATAGGGATAAAGTCAAGGTTCACTAAAGACTATATTAACAGTAATAAGGCAAAAACTTCTGCAAGTGTGATTTTTTACTACCAGGAATAAAGACAAAGCTACAAAAGTGGTCAATATTGTGTTAGCAGTTTTAAATAACCACAATTGTTACAAGACTCATTACAAATAAGGCTTAACTCATTATAATTCAACTTATTAAATTTTACTAACAGTAAAAAAATGGGGAAAATATTGTGTTGAGTGTGCAACATGGTACACAAAAGTCAAGCCAAATTGCTTTTACACAGAAGATTTTACAACACACAGCATGGAATGATTAGTTGTATATAAAATTCCATTACATATACTAATATTTAGTACAAAGATTATTCTAAAAGAACACCACAGTTTTGCAACCATCAATAACCAAAAATATGTATGTACATATATGTAAAAGATACCATTTTTAAGAGTTTTAGTTCTAAAAGTATTCTTAAGATATAATAAATGAATGTTTCAACTTGTGTTACTTATTAGGTTCAATATCACCTACCAACTACTGTACAGTTTTGCTACTGGTTCTTGATGAGTGATGCTAAACAAACAAACAGGGAATTAGATAAACTTTGATAAACATCTCTTAAAAAAACATCTTTGCTTGTTACACTGTAAATGGAAGCTATAAAACTATATATATATATATATTACAACCATTTTTTAAACTACTTACTGCTAACTAAATACACGTAAACAAGTGTTCTACATAAGTTAATAAGATCATTCTATATATTTTTACAGTTAAGACTGAGATATTTGCCGAGTGTCAAAAAATGATACAACTTTACGTTTGAATAGAAATACCATTTCTGTTTCTCTCACTAGTTTTATGTGATTTGGTCACACCATTCCATTGTATGATGTTTCAATGAAGAAATTCCTAAACATTTTTTTTTCCCAGCAGAAATTGCAAAATTAGTGGAGTGTAAGAAAGAATGGCACATCAACACACAATAGACTTATATTAGTTCTACTATGATACAAAAATAAACAATATCTCTGTCAATTTTAAACATTGTTTACTGGATTGTCTGCAGTCATGATTTTTCACATATATTGAAAACTTTCTGCTAATGTTTTTCATATTACAGTCAAAACATTTTTCCTTTCAAAAAATCATATCTAACTCCATCATATAAATACTTTTTTATGTTTTATCTTCTAATTTACAGATGCCACCGTTTCAAGCACTCTGAACCTTTTTTGGACCACTCATCTACACTTGCACACACTTCTTCAAATCCATCGGAAGCAGCCAATCGACATGCACCAAGATAAGCCATGTGATAACGATATGGTGAGGCATGAACCTGTAAAATAAATAATTCACACAAATCAAGCATACATACTATCCTGTGTCACCAGTTCTTGTAGCTTTTAAGCATTTATTGAAGAAAACAACATTCATTGTTAGAAAATGGTCAAAAACAAATTTGAATAAAATTATACATCTATCAAGCTATATTAAATATATTGATTTTTTACCACAACAATTAGATTCTCAATTATTAAAGGTACAAAGATTACAAACTTATTATTTTGTAACATAACAATAAAACTTCTGTGTTCATAAAAAAGCTTTATTGATTCCATCACATACCTTTTCTTACATTTTGATTGGCTTGATAAAATGTTTGGTTTGATGTGAATGTTAGGAATTGATTTGGTTCATAAATTAAGGTTTCACAGAGATTAAAACTAAACTCACTTTGGGAACAATTGCTGAAGGAGTCAAGTTGTTGACTTCCCTCTCAAGGCGTTCTGCAAAACCTGGCAATAATGTCACACCACCACTGAGGTATATGCTTCGAACCATTTCTCGTCGAATGTCCATACTACACTCCTGAAAAGCTCGGAGAATTAACTTGTGGACCCCTGGACAGTCAAGACCCCACAATTCAGGAGTAAATAATCCCTCTGGTGTCTGAAACCTTCCTATATCTAAAGAAATAGTTCTGAAAAAATAAAAAATCAATGTAATTTATGTACATTGATCTAAAACTAAATATCTATTTCTTATCAGATTCAAATAATATAAAGTAAATGAAATTGATTGAAAACTAACTATTTTGTCTTAAATATTATTTAAATTACTAATATCAAACCTTCATTTTTTGTATACAACTTTACATGCAGTTATATATTAGGTCGTCTGGAAAGTTTAAATCAAGCCCTTCATCAGAAATGCCCTTCACTCATCAGTCAGAAAGGTGTTCTTCTCCACAACAATGCACGTCCACATGTTTGATGCAACACAAGATTATGCAGTTGGGTTGGGAAGTTCTCCCCCACCCACCGTATTCTCAAGATATGGCACCATCAAATTACCACCTTTTTCGTTTGCTGCAACACCATCTTAATTGGAAAACGTATGCAAATGTGGAAGGTGTTAAAGAGGACATTGACATGTTTTTTGCTTCAAAGCCAAGTGATTTCTTTAATCAAGGCATCAACAACCTGATTGTAAATTGAAAAAGCATCATCGATAAGAATGGA